ACCATTTTTTCTGCTGCCCCTTCTTTCCAGACACCTCCCGCTCCACAAGTTTATCCTCAAACCACTCAGTATACCCTCTCTGCTGCCTATCCTACTCCTACACACAATGTGTATGAGGAAGAAAAACAGTACGGATCCGACTCCCAGGATGGTGACGATGCCACCAATAAATACTCAGAATTTGAAGCCAGGCTTAAAGCCCTGGAATCAGCAAATGTTCTTACTCCCGGCGCAGCAGCCATGTGGCTAATACCGGATGTGGTGATCCCAGAAAAGTGAAAAATGCCGGAGTTTTAAAAATATGATGGCACACGGGACCCCATGAACCACTTAATGATGTTTTGCAGTAAGATGGCGGCCCACATAAGAAATGATCAGCTGTTGGTGTTTAGCTTCCAGAATAGCTTAACTGGGCCTGCGTTGCGATGGTACACCTCCTTGGAGCACTCGAAGTTGAAGAAGCGGAACGACTTGGCAGACTCCTTCATGAAAGAATACAAGTCTAACCAGGACATGGTGCCCACCAGGTCTCAACTTGAGAGTATGGAGATGAAGAGAAACGAGACCTTAACGGGGGTATGCCCAAAGGTGGAGGACTTTGGCAGCTCAGGTGGCTCCGCCTCCAACTGAAAAGGAGATGATTGACCTCTTTCTCAATGCCCGGATGAACATGCATTCTTTTCGATACAGTATGGTAGACTTCTAACCAAATGAAAGTCAATGGCAGCCATTATTCCTGAAACATCTGCGGAGCTAACCCCTCTCTCAATGACTTAAGAAAGAGGGGGGGGGATCACTTATCATACCTAAAAGCAGCCATTTCTCTGAACTACGATACCACATCCGATTTGATTGAACTCACGGATCCAATCGCCAAGGAAAGGCCAGTCTACTGACTAGGGTTCAAAGAATTTACCTAACTAGAACTCCGCGAGTGAACGCAAAGAAGCAAACCAGACTAGACGGAAAGAACTCCGAATAAACAAAGCAAAAGCCCATCTGGCCAATCTCAAGCTGGATGAGAAGGCAAACCAACCCTCCGAAGAAGGAAAGAAGGATCGAGGATAGACCATCGAATTCTTCATGAAAGCGCCTTACCTTTAAGGATCAGTCGTGCCATTCGGAAACTGAGAAAAGAGGCTGAGAGTACTCTGCTCAGGGCGATCAGGGGTTTCCGGGTATTCGTCCAAGCCCATTCGCGAGATCCTCACGAGGCTTGGGCTTTTCCAGGGCCTAAAGCCAGACCTGGTCATAGCTGATAGGGGGCTCCGGTAGTCGCCGAACTCCTGGGACGCAACCGACCTTCGACCTCCACGGGGAGCTGCACCCCACTAATGAAGCGGGAGGTCGCCCAAAAGCATCGTAGAAAGATTGTCTAGGGGGATGGTTCCTCCTCTCCGTGCTCTTCTTCTTTTTTCTCCCCTCTCCCTTCGCCCTACGGGCTCATATATTCCCTTCCTCTCCTTCTTGTTCTAATTAAAATGCGAGCAACTTCGCACCTTCTCCCTACGGTCGAACATATTCTAAACCTTCGGGCTCATATATTCTAAACCTTCGGGGGAACTCAAACTAAAAAGAATCGAAGGACAGAGATTGAAGAATTACTTCATACTTCAGCTGTCTATCCTTTTGCTGGATTGGGACTGATGAATTCGCTTACAATCTTAAAAAGAGAACTATAAAGACAGATTGTTCTGTCTTACTAAGTACTAAGCTAAGGAACCGAGCAAGGTGCGGAGTCTCAATCACGTGTACGACGGTCGACGGGAGAAAGGGAAGCAGAGCAGCAAGCACCATAGTCCGGAAAGAATAGAATGTTAATGCTCGATAGTAAGGATTGTCTGATGCATGTAGGGAAACATCCCGAATCAAGGGATTTAGGCTATCGAAAGCTATTTTTTATTCATATACGCGGGATCTTCGATTTCTTACTCTAACCTGTTTGTTGATCGGCTTTTCTATATGGTGGTTCTGTATACCGGAGCAACTGCTCGTAACCCCGACAGCTCTCTCCGCGCCAGATCTAAAACTACTTTTTAGGGTGGCAAGGGAGACTTTTGAGAATCATGTTTGTAGTAGTCATCATGTCCCAAGCCGCAAACTCAATGATACAGGGCGAGGATAAAGAGTGCAAGAGAAGGAGCTGACAGCCATAGTTCATTGCCTAAGAACACGATCTAAATCTAATAGATTCTTGTATCGAGTAGTTGGATCATAAGAGTCTCTTACCATACAAAAAAATGGCTGCATGCGCTGCACCTTTCGTCACTGAAGGAGCTATCTTCCCCGGCAACAGAGTTGGATAGATGCCATAGTGAGGAGTAGTCCCGGCCGTTATCCCCATTCCCTTCCTCTACTTGAATGAAATATTCAATTCTCTTTCCCCTGAGAAAACAAGACTCGAAGTCCCCATATTCTCCCATCAAGATGTTACTGGCCATAGGTTGTTCGTCGTCTTGAGGATCATGTCGATCTGCTAACTTTCTATCACTGGTTGGGGGCTGTTGGCCCTGAATCTCCCCGCATAAGTGGGAAAGGACTCAGATGGCTTTTGATGCTTAATCTCCAACTCGTGGCAAAGATCTTACTTTTCTTTTGTGGAACATCTCTATAGCTTGGGACAGGCTTGCTTGAGCGGATATGCGATATACAACCGATCTGCGACTATAAGTCTATTGGTCTTTCAATCTTTTCACAATGGAAATTCACCACTTCACTTACTTACTACTTACTTATTTAAATACCAGCTTGAACACGGAAAGTGAAAGTAGCACTAAAAAAGCAAATAGAGAGAGAGTACAATACAGAACTAAATAGGTTTAGAGTTCGGTGCTAGGTCAGCTAATAAGCTAAGCTCCATCATCATCCACTGATTGAGTAGCCGCGCGTTCAGAGCCGGGCGGGTTTGAAAAGATTCGAAATGAGGAGAGCAGTGGCAAAGGACAAAGGATAGGAGGAGCATTTTTTCCTTCCTTAGTGAAGGTACGAAGTGACTCGACTCTAAAGGAGAGGAAGGAGGCATGAAAATCGTCCCCTATGAACCTAAAAATAACTCTGCTTTAGCAAGAGCTATAGCTTCGAATTCGGATTCAGGCTATTCTCGCCTTCTTGTCTAACCTAATAAGAACTAAAATAAAGGAGTTTTTCTTACTTTCTGGAACGAAGCCTATTCAGTTTTCCATTTCAAATCTAAATCTCGTCCATGCATATCTCCACATTACGGCATATCCCAACATCTCGGCGTCTCGTCGGCGATCTTAGCTGCTTCTTCGTTCGCTACTAAATGAAATAGTAAATTCCAATGTACCCAGAAAGAGAAAACAAAGAATCCCGGGGAATGTATCCCGCTGGAGTGTTAGAACATACGAATAATGTTGTAACCTCCGAATCACTATATCCGTAGACATCTACGAATGAAGAAAGATCTCCGACAGTACGACATCGTAGACAGTAAGATGGAGTTCAAGAGCGTTTGCCGAAATGCTAGCCGTTGGATTGAAAACTGGAATGTTTGACTATTGAGTTTGTGCACTACCGCCCCAATGTCGAATTTCGTTTTTGTACTGCCGGGTGTTCCCTCTCCTTTCAGTCGAGCAACTTCGTTCCTCCACCTATTCCTTTCTCGTGAGCTTCCTTTCCCGTGTAGAGGCGCCTATTCGTGTTTAGCCCTATATTGACTCATTTTTTTTTTGAGTGGAACTCGAGTTGGACGTCCCATCCGTACTTGAGAAGCGGCCAGCTAAACCAGAACCAGACTTTTTATAATGAATCCCGAGCCGAGAAAACCCCTAGATCACGTATCCAGTACTCTAAACAAAAGACGCCAAAAGACCTCTCTTTGTCGATGCTATCACCCTTCTACTCCCATCGGAGTTCTTCCTAATAGCTTAACTTCGCTCCGCTTCGTTCGTACCTTCTATCGCTTACATTTCGTTCTTTCATGGTATTTCATGGGCTCCATGCACGCACACAAGCATTCTCTATTTGTTCTCTTTTATCGGGCCAATGCTTTCATTTCGTCGGATCGTTCTGCCGCGGAGTCTTCCGTTGATCTCTACACACGTGCGGGTACTTCACTTTTGATTTTGCACTAAGTTACTTACGTTACGGTCTTCAGCAGGCAGGCTTATACCATTATGCTCACGAGCAGAATCTTTTCAATTTTCATTTCTTCACTTAAGGAAGACTGATATAGAGGCTTTTCCCGCAATCGGATGTTAGTGGGTCTTTGAAGGAGGTGGTCCCCAATCTCCTAAGCAAATGTTGTCGTGTCCCCTTCATCCTTATTCTGGGGAAGATAAAATCAAGATAGAATGCCTCTCCTCTCCTTTAGAGTCGAGTGGCTTTCGCTCCTCAAAGATGAGAAGCGGCTCGCGCCTATCTTATCTATAGTAAGGCCCTCCGCAGGATGAATTATTTTCCCTTCACAAGGGAGGGGTCTGCTAATGGAACCTTTTCCTTTCCACTCACTATAAGAAAATCCAATCGTCTCGGGGATTACTACTTTGCTCTTCCTACCACCCACACCCGTACATGCTGCTTTCTAGTCTTCTCCACCTAAAACGGTAACGGTTGTTGGTGTCCGCTCATAGCTTGTTGTTCCTCAACCTGATTGATCGTATATATCACTCCGATCACCTACCAGTACCAGGCTTGGCATTCTCAGGTGGGTTCGCCCTTTATGTGATAGGGGTGCCCCACCGGTTGTTTATGGCTTTTCCATTGAGCGTCTTCGAGTTCGACCTAGTTACTCTCTCTCGCCTTTTCGAATGAAGATGAAAAAAAAACACATTTCAACCTATCTTGTGCTCGCCCCTTACCTGCTGCTTAGTCTGTTGATTAAGATGTGGATATTGCAGATGATGATTTGGATTGCACTTTCACTTATACGCCCACCAACTTCCACCTTAGCTTTCACCAACTAAAGGAAAGGGAACTGCTGGCACAAGTAACATTTTCACTGCGAACTTAATAAAAACTTCCTTCCCGGCTACGCACTATGATCCCCGGTACCAGATCGTACCATCATAAGCGACTACCCTTTTTTGGTTGTGGTGTTGTATTCCCACCTTGAGCCCACCCACCAAAATACTTTTGAAAGCCGTTTTGTGCGCAAGCCCCTTCCTGCCATAGTAGGCATATCCTTCCGGGGCAGATGCATAGTAAGCACCCCCCTTTTTTGTCTACTAGTCATAAAAGACTATCCGCTTTGACATGAGACAGTCTAGCTCACTTCTGTATCAACTGGCTGAAATGCTAACCTAGGGCTCGGACTGGTTACTACATAGCCCTTTCACCAATAAGCGATTGGCGGATGGTGCTGGACCCGTAAGACTCGCTATCGACTACTCAGAAAATAAAACTAAACACTTATAGATTCGAAGGCTTCAACCGCTGTTAGGACCGACTACCGGACTGATAGAATGGAATGATAGAGCGAGAAAGGTAGGTTTAGGACTATGATCTGAAAGCTGACTGCCTGTCTTGAATGTATCTATGGACGAGCCTTGAAAAAGCCTATTTTTTATTAGTTTCTCCGGTATAGGAGAATTAAAAACTTTATAATTGTGGCTTGTCTATTAGTGTAAATGGGCCGATGAGCTTTAGCCCCTGGGCGGGATCAAACAATTCTCTTTTCGAAGCCGTCCATTAACTAAAAAAGGCTTTCGGGTATGAATCTCTCAATTTACTTTTCTTTCCTGCTTTGGGGTTAGCTCCAGAAGCTGCTTAATATGTTGTTCATCTATTTGACGAGATAGGTCAGAAGCCTTGTCGAAGATCTCCTACCTTCTTCTTGAAATAAGGTGCTTAAGCTGACTTCCGCATCCCAAAGGTCCCAGTCATGGATATTCCACAATAGGATGAATGGTGGTAGAGATCTCTCTCTCCTAATGAGAGAGTCCAGCTTTTAGGGTGTGGCAGCAGTTTGGATGTAAGTGACGGTACAATAGTACTAAAAAATCCTGGTATATCCCTCTGTTAGAAAACTAATCTACAAGAAGAATAATGAATAGAATAGAAAAGGGAAACAGAAAAAAGAAGAATGAAGAGAGTGTGAAAGCATCTACTAGGGAGGGAGAAGGCTCCTGCTTAGTACAACCAGAAAGAATGCAGAGTAAGGCCGGGAAGAGGCCTGTTTTCCGGGGCATAAGCTTGCTGCAATGACACAGCACATTTAAGTAAAGCGCAGTGAACAAGAAACCTGATTTCCGGACAAGCCTGATCACCTCCTTAGCAAACAAGTGCACTCCGACATAGAGCTCTTTGTTGAGACCATCGGTCACTACCAAAATGACTCGATTAATAACCATCTTAAGTAGTGGAAGACCTTACAAGATCTTCTGCCACTTTATGGCCTTAAGTCGGAACAACTTGTCAAAGAGGGTAAGGTTCGTTTCAAGAATTTATGTAACCTTCCTGGTCCTGGTTGGGGGCTGTCTCCACAGGACACGACCAAGTGAGCTAACAGGGGGTTTAGAGCTCCTCTTTTCAAGGAGACTCATCCACACCTGCGCCCACTGACCGCCGCGCGTGGCTTCCGGGTCACCTAACGCTACACCTCACTTGCTCCGTCCAAGAAGCCGTCTAACCTAAGGTAACTATTCTCCGAATAGGTTGTAACACCGGATATTCCGTATTAGTTGATGCAACTCTGACTAAGGTGGATCTGGATATTCTATTGACCATAAAACAAAGCGGATACTGACTTCGAAAGTGCTCTTAATCACTTCTTTCTTGGCCTTCTCTCTCAAGCTCAAGGAAGTGAGCCAAGAGCCACTCATCTGAGCCAGCGGATTCGAATTCTGCTGTGCCGGTGCACAAAGCAAGCACGCTTAGACTGCGATGTGCAATCTTTGGTCTGCCTATCATTGTCCATTAAAGGCTGACTCCGCTAGGCAAGAGGACAACTACTGGGATTATTTAACTACTAACTGATGACCGGAGGACTACTCTCCTTCTTCCATTCCAATAAGTCTTATTAAACGGGAGATAGGCATTCGGATTCGTTACTTGGGGCTCCTGAGGGTGAGGAACGAAGTCACTCGCATTTTAATTAAAACAAGTAGGGAGAGGAGAGAAAACCACTCGACCGATAGGGAGAGGAACGAAGGAACGAGCGGAATTCGGGTTGCATCCAAAAAGACCGGGAAAAAAAGTTTTTCGACGATTCTTTTTGCCATCGCCCGAGCGGAATTCGGGTTGCATCCAAAAATCCCGAGAAACTCCATTCTCGCATTCTAGCTAGACTAAATCAGGAAAGAAAAATGCCTGCCCTCAGCATGGGTCAGTCCGCCTATCGATCACGAGGGTCTGAGGGTTACGGGAAGTCCTATCCAGCGCCTGGATTAAAGCGAGAAGAAGAAAGTCAAAACTTAAACCTACCGAACCAGTCCAGTGCATTTGAAGAATATTCAATTTAGACCGGATAGGAATAGGACTCTTTAGGCAGAGTGGCTTTCTTGGAGGCCTGTCTTCTTCTCAACTCTAAACTTATTTATTTAAAATAAATTATCTGCCCTACTGTCTGTGGTAAGTCAGTCTGTTTTCCCTGTGAATCCAGCTTTCGATCGCTTACTGTACTCTCTGTTTTGTCTCGCCTTGAGCTTGGGCCAGGTATTAATTCTTTTATGGCTTTCGCCCGTTAAGGACTTAAACAATCGAAAAGGGATGAAATAGCATCGGAGTCGAAAACAGCGCATATTCCAAAAAAACCATCAACTGCGGGTAGGCTTCAAGCTCCTACTCATATAACTCTTTGTACAAATTCGAAGCACAGATAAGACGCTCTTTTCATTCTTTGTATTCGGGTAAAAAAGCAGACCAGGACTGAGCTCCAGTTGTCTTACCGTCTTCAAGACCCAGCTAAAGAGAGAGTCCCCAGGGAAGATGGCTTTACTTGTAGTTCGTCACTTTCTTTAAGGCAAGGACAAGAGCTTCGGTGTAAGCACCAGTTCGAACTCTGACTTAGAATCAGACCTTAGATCTCTCTCTCAATAATTGGTATTGAAGTTTGATCCAATCAACCACTCACAGCTGACCTCAAACAAAATCTTCCAACCACGAGACGCTTATGACCTCCCCCTCTATGCCTTGCGGTAATGATTCCTCTGGCATTACGGCCTTTACCACAACGATGCTGTCCATAGATCAAATTATTTCGTGTATTGGATTTCACTTGACTGTCTACGGCTCCATTGCGTGTGCTCGGGGTAGAAGTTTTGTATAAATGTATCGCCATGCTATTAAGTATTTTTATTCAAATTATTTTCTTTCTAAGAGGTGGAATAGAATAACCCGGTTGAAGCGTAATGATCATACGTCTTTAATGCATTGTATGTCCCATAATAGGTCTCATTCTTCTACCCTTTCCCGGGAGTCTATTACTATTAATAGCAATGAACTTGACACCAAAGAAGAGTTCGACCCAATGCTTTATTTCTGTCCTAGTTGATCCCGATTCGACATTAGAAGTATATTGATTTATCCCCAATAACCGAATACTTTTGTCTGTACATACTGCATATTTTATTCCATCCATAATTTTTTTTTCTTCCCTATGAGTTATAGTCTCAATAAGAATGCTAGTTCTTACTGTTCATATGTTATGATATGAATATATCATACCAATTCGTTATGTATGAATGATGAGATTCCATTGATACAGAGCCAATTCCAATAGACTTATTGGAGGGTCCCATTGGCGTGCATCCAGTAGGAATTGAACCTACGAATTCGCCAATTATGAGTTGGGCGCTTTAACCATTCTGCCATGGATGCTTAGCAGGGATCCTCGTACATGGTGAATAACCAAATTCCAATTGAAATGAAATCTTTAGGATAAATCAATGCAATTTAGGAGGAATCAATGAAAATCCTGGATTTTAGAATTGAGAGAGATCCAGAATTCTCACTATTTCTTAGATTCATGGACCCAATTCAATTTAGTGGGATCTTTCATTCACATTTTTTTCCATCAAGAACGTTTTATAAAACTCTTGGACTCCCGAATTTGGAGTATCCTACTTTCCCGCAATTCACAGGGTTCAACAAGCAATCGATATTTCACGATCAAGGGTGTAGTACTTTTTGTAGTAGTGGTCCTTATATATCGTATTAACAATCAATCGAAAGATAAAATCTCTATTTGACAGGGCTTCTTCCTATACCTATGAATTCCATTGGACCCAGAAATGATACATTGGAAGAATCCTTTGTGTGTTCCAATATCAATAGGTTGATTGTATCGCTCCTGTATCTTCCAAAAGGAAAAAGATCTCTGAGAGCTCTTTCTTGGATCCGAAAGAGAGTACTTGGGTTCTCCCAAGAACTCAAAAGTGTATCATGTCTGAATCTAACTGGGGTTCGCGGTGGTGGAGGAACTGGATCGGAAAAAAGAGGGATTCTAGTTGTAAGATATCTAATGAAACCGTCGCTGGAATTGAGATCTCATTCAAAGAGAAAGATATAAAATATCTGGAGTTTTTTATATTATATGGATGATCCGATCTGCAAGGACCATGATTGGGAATTGTTTTCTCGTCTTTCTCCGAGGAAGGGGCGAAACATAATCAACTTGAATTCGGGACAGCTATTAGAAATCTTAGTGAAAGACTGGATTTCTTATCTCATGTTTGCTTTTCGTGAAAAAATACCAATTGAAGTGGAGGGTTTCTTCAACCAAGAAGGAGCTGAGTCAACTATTCAATCAAATGATATTGACCATGTTTCCCATCTCTTCTCGAGAAAGAAGTGGGCTATTTCTTTGCAAAATTGTGCTCAATTTCATATGTGGCAATTCCGCCAAGATCTCTTCCTTAGTTGGGGTAATAATCCGCACGAATCGGATTTTTTGAGGAACATACCGAGAGAGGATTTTATTTGGTTAGACAATGTGTGGTTGGTAAACAAAGATCGGTTTTTTAGCAAGGCACGGAATACATCGTAAAATATTCAATATGATTCCACAAGATCTAGTTTCGTTCAAGGAAAGGATTGACGCCAATTGAAGGGATCTTCTGATCAATCCAGAGATCATTTCGATTCCATTAGTAATGAGGATTCGGGATATCACACATTGATCAATCAAAGAGAGATTAAACAACTAAAACGAAAAAAGAAAGATCGATTCTTTGCGACCCTTCCTTTTCTCTTTCTCTTTTTCTTTCTCATTCCCAAAGCATCTTTGCCCACTTACCGGCCTAACCCACTACCCCACCTTACTTTTTTGTCTCAGAGGATACTGTTTACAACTCTAAAACCACTACGTTACCAGAGGGATAAGACGAAAGCACAGCCATACGGGGAGGTTCTTATGGAAAGTGAATAAATAAATAAAGTACTGTTCTTGAAGTCTCAGAGCTGAGCAGTAGTATCGGAGCTAGCTTTAGAAAAGTAAGGAGTGGCGGGATGCTAAAGAGCTGATACAGCTAAATAAAAGGGGTTTATACCCTGCTGCTACCTTAGAATGATAAATTAATACTCTTAAAGTTGGCTTTATTTCCTGCACCCGTGGCCCTCTCCTTCTTGTTCTAATTAAAATGCGAGCAACTTCATTCCTCTTCCTTTCAGTCGAGCTCTTTCACCCCTCTCTTTTCAGTCGAGCTGATCAAGATTTCTACGGAAGGTCAAGGGTGAATTGGGACCTCCGACTGCTAAACCAGTCGTATAAGTGGGTTGAAAGAGCTATTGTGTTTAGGCCGGAGCTCAAGAATTGGCAATCGGCAGTCAGAGACGGGCTATTGGAAGCCGGTGTTGATCCCATTAATTATAGGGTTTAGTTTAGATCATTCAGTGGGTACCAAGATTGGTGGTTCGACATTCGGGAGTTCTGGTCGTAGACACAGTGCTGCTGATCTCCTCAGCTATGCGAAAGCTTTGAATATTCGAGTGGCTGTCTATGCAAGTGTTGAAAGAATTCTTTTAGCCTCTTCTTCGCCTTATTCTGGATCGAAGCAATCGGCAATTGGACTTCTTTTTCGTGACCAAACAGGTCGATACCACCATGCAATGGTGCATGGAAAGGGAGAGAAAAATGAAATAGCTAAAGAAAAGAAAGAAAAAGAGTTGGTATGCCCTACATCTCCAAGGAACGAAGTAGTGAGCCTAAAAGGAAAGGTTAGAAGTCTCGAACGAAGTGAGCAGGAGCGAAAGGACACAGAAAGAGGAAAGGCGCAACCGCTCAGACAGCCAGAGAATCAATCATGAAAAAAACGGCACACGAGCTCCTAACAGCAGCCATAGCTCGAGCAAGAAGGAAGTCTTTATTTTTATCATAGAATTCCATTCCATTTTTGCTTTCAGCAAGTAGGCGACGCGAATCTATGCTTTCTATGTTGAAATCGGGCTTGGATGCGTTTGAAAGCCTCGAGATGACTTGCAGAAAGAATTCATTGACGGTTTGTCTTCTGTCTCCGAAACAAATGGTCCATTTATTGATGGGCGAACGACGGGGATTGAACTTCAAGCGGTAGGGATCGAAGCGAAGTCTGTTGCTCTTTGTTCCCTTCCTGGGAGTCAACTCCTCGCTAGTTTGTCCAGAAATCTCTATGGTATGGTCATTTTCCAAAAGTAATAGTAGAAAACCGCTTTCAAGCCACCCAGCAGCAGCCCTCTGTTATCTGCCACATTTCCCGTACATACTTTCTTTCCTCTACTTGCTCTATAGAAAGCAAGGGAAACCCCTCCCAGAGAGACGAGTTCACACCGACCGCTATTCTGTTCTTTCGCCCTTCTTCAACAAAATCGGATCTAGAACTGTCGCCTTCCTATTGTATTGAATAGCGAGATAGAGTCAAAGTAAAGCATTCCAATTGGTTGGCTTCTAGAGACAGAGTTACCATTGAGAGTTGCCTACCCCCTGACTCTGGTCCTTCCGCTCCTCCGGGATCAGGGCATGCTTTCTTCTCAGTCGTGAAAGACGCCTTATTTCGGGGCAGGACATCTAATTCCATGCCACTTTCTTCCGCTCGGCGACAATGCAGGAGACATCAGACTTGATTTATCTTCTTTAGACCACTGAAAGAACTGAAAGAGGTGGCCGGGCTGTCTATGACGTACTAGGACTTGTAGAGTAGAGGCACTACTGGGCGGGGCTTCCTCGATCACAGCTTCTCGCTTAGCTAACTGTCACTCAATCAAAGACAGAATGCTCATAGCAGCTGTCGAGCAAAGACTGAATGAGTAAGCATCTGTCGATATGTGTAAGATTCGGATGATAGTTCTAAGAGGGCACAAGTGATCGAATCACGATGTATTAACGTAAGATATTTGTCGTTGATGGTGCTTTATGCTGGGCTTTCGAAGGTCCAAGTATTCCCACCAGATCATAAAAAAACTAGAGAACGATGAATCAATATCAGACCTATTTCTTTCAAATTCTTCTTTCCTTTCTTAGGTATCTCCCTTAGACATACCAACAAAACACATGAATACTTTTAGTATACACCTGCTAACGCATATACACACCTCATAGTAGGCACAGAGACAAAGGATGTGAAGATCAAGAATCGTCGTATGAGGAGGATAAAGTTAGCTATTCGAGGCAAGGAAAGAAAGACTAGTTCAATAGAGTTATTGAAAGTAGCCTTTGACTTCGACTATTACACCGACTTTTACTTTGGATAGCGCCTATTCTCTATGAGATTTGGTACAACCCCAGATCTGAGATCATAAGTAAGGCAGAGCAGCATAAAGAGAACGAAGCGATAGAAAGTAGCTTAGCTATGGGAAAGAGTATCAAGCGTAGCGAGTAGCTCACGCTCGGATGCAGCGTCGGAAAGAGAGGATGACAAAGTGAAGTTTTTAAGTCCTAGTTCAATCCGGGAAATAGGCAAAGATAAGCTATCCGGAACGAGTAAAACGGTATATGAGCTAACACCAATGGGGGATAAGCCTGCATTAGCTAAAGCTATGATAAGGGTTTCGATTCTGTGAGAACAAGTTAATCCGGAAATGGATAAGCTGCCTGAGTGAGAAAACCCATGTAAGGAATCGATTTATGAAAGAGGCATGTATGCAGGTAAGATAGTGACTCTTAAGCTCTCCTTACTTTGACTCGGAAGAGTAAGCTTACTTTTCTCCTGGGAGTTCAATTTTAACTCACTCTAACCCACTAGTTCCTTAATAAATATGTCCCTGCGACTCAACTGATAAGGAAAAAAAAGCTATACTGTTTAGTACGATATTTTCCTCCGGGAAAAAAGGAGTGTTAGCGCATCCAGCGAACAAGCGATTTAGCGAGCTAAAAAGCATAAGGCGAAGCGATTAGCAAAGCGAGAATCCGGAAGTTCTTTCGCTACACTTACTTCTAGTAGGAAAATCCTATAGTCGAAAGATAATTCTTCTTCTTTAGCGGAGAAGATCACATCGCTTATTCTTTCAACGGCAATAGCAGCGGATTCCTTCGCCTATTCTATCCCTTCAAGTCCCATAGCTTCTTCTCAAGCAGCAAATGGTCGGCTTGGGGTCGACTGCCTTCTTCTCACACTCTCATAGCGGACATCGGAAGCTCTTGGGCGTGGGGCGTGATAAAGGGTTGGAAAGTAGGCCCGGAACCAGAGTGGAAGGTTTCTGTACTGCTACGGAACCATCGGAAAGAAAAGGAGGATTTGGACCGTTGGTGCTTGCCGGGATTTATCGGGGCCTTGTGCTCTAAAGGAAGATGGAAAAAAATACCGAGGAAAAGAAAGAAGAAAATCGTGACGATTGGGCAAGACAAGAGAGGAACTGATTGACCTAAGTAAGTAGGCAAGGAGAAGAGTAAGTAGCCAAGGGCTAAGCCGGCGTAGGGCAAGGTAAGACTCTTTTTCTATTACCCGCTCCTAACTAGGTAGAATAGAGAAGACAGGAATAAAGGACTAAGATATTTCTTTCGATTCCCCGATTCCTTGGAGAGTAAGAGCTATTAAATGACTTTTCCCAGGACTGAAAGCTGAGGAAATAGCATGTTTCTCGTCTTGTCACAGATCCATGGTCTACTCTTTCATAGCCTCGGTAAAAGCCAGACACCAATCCACATTCCACCGATATACACTAAGCCTACAACGAAAGGAGAGTTCTTACGCGTACGACTGTCTAAACTAAATGTTAAGAATCAATATTGAGCGAGTTGGGACTTCTTCTCCTGAGGTGAAAGGAAGGGCTTATCCCCAAAGAATTACTTGACTTGTCAAATAGGTAGCTAGAGTGAAAGCAAGGTCAGTCAATCAGGGACGAAGTTGCTCGCATTTTAATTAGAACAAGAAGGAGAGGGACGATCAATCGTATGAAAGCAAAGCATCAGCAGAAGAAGCAGCATAGGAAGGTGAAGAGCACGCTTCCCTTTAGTAAGATAATTTTTTTAGCTAGTCTTTTATTTTTTAGCGCTTCTTACGTCGTTTATACGGTTAGGCAGCCCGCCTGGATCTCGTATGGATCCTCTTTATTAGAAAGGGGGTGACTGTCATCAATCTATGACTCTCGATACATTTTCATGGCAAGTAAGGATTAGTGGTCCCGTCTAATAGCGGACTTGGCAGTTGTCATTTTTAATTGGTAGTGAATCATGGATACATATGATACTTCACGCGGAACATGAAGTGCACGTTTCTGCCTGAGTATCTTCTATAATGCTTTGATCTGTTACCTGCAACTGCAGCTAGCTGCTTCAGCCATAGATGACATGCTAACATAGCTAAAAGTAAAATACTAATGTGCAGGAAGATTTTGAATGATCCTGTGTAGATACTGGAAACTGGATAGGCAAGATAGGGATCACCTTGACGGAAATGAATGGATGGTGGACGGAAAAGGATTAAATTAGAAAGTATCATTAGTTTTGGACTACATTAGGAAACCTTTGAAATTGATGAGCTAAAACGTGAATGGATAATTGAAAACTGAAACTGAATTGCCAAGTTGCCATTTGTGAATTCAAAATAATTTGCCCTAAATTATACGAAATTGACTATTTTGACCTTTTCCCAATTTCTAAGCCTGATTCAGCAAAACTCACACCCCCTCGTCCCCCAAAACCCGACCCCTCCCTGCTTCTGCTCTTAATTCGCGGAGAATTCCGGCGGCCTGGTTAACTCGCGGAGAAGAAGGGAAGGAGAAGGAAGAAGGGGCAGGAAGAAGATTCTGCCGCCGCTTGCTGCTACTCTGTTCCCGACCCTTAACTCCGGCGGCCTGATTCTGCTCTGAACTCGCGGAGGAGGAGGAAGAAGAGTGTACCGCCACCTGCTGCGAAGAAGAAGAAGAAGGAGGGAAGGTGAAGGCCGACCGATCCCGCCACCGACTCGCGTGTTGCTGCTGTTTCTGTTGCTGCAGAGAAGGAGGAAGGAGGCAGGCCCAGGTAATTCCTTTTTTGTGTGTGTGGGATGTTGGCCGGACGGGTTGAAACCCCGTCTCGGCGAGCTTGGGACGAGTTCCCGACCTGTCTTGACTCTTGAGCTAGCAGCCCAATTGCTCGACGAAATGTCTGAATGAAACCTCTTTGTTCTCATTGTGAACACTTTGCAGGATTTGAATCACTAACGTTCGAACACAGGCAGTTCCTTTGATTTTTTGAAACAATCATCCAACTCGAACGAATTGGTGTTGACAGGACCAGCTTCTGGCTGCGCTAGGTGATACAAGGGTTGCAGTTTTCTCAAGTGGGTTGCTTACCACTATCTCTACAGCAAGATGGAGAAGCGTCAGCAAGAAAAGATTCAGAAATTTGAGGAATTCGTGGACAGCCGCTTGAAACCTGATCTTGTTAGGGCTATCGGTGAACGGTGCTGTGTTTATTTTGCTCTTCGATCTGTTTGCTCTCTCCCCTATTTGTTTGGAGCTTGTCAAGCCCATTTGATCACCTGACGGGGAGTTCTGTTCTTTTTGCACTTACAGGGATAAGGTCTTTGAACAGCAAAAGATTTTGTATCCTTTTCCATAGATGTTTCATTCAAGCTCCGGTTTTCAGATTTAGCTGCAGAGTCTTTTCACTTAACTCACTATTTGCTAGCGTGGATTTGCGGAGAAACATTGAGAACTTGGAAAAGAACAGCGTTACCAGTCTTAGGACACTGGTGAACCTTGGGTCTGAAGTTTACGTGCAAGCAGACGTGTAAGTGCTTAATGGCTCTAAACGTTCCTTTCATCCTTCAGTCTGCTGTGGTACACTGGTTTCATGAGCTCTCTTTTCTTCCTAAGATCAATGTTTTTCTGTCGGTATGTTTCCCAGGCCGGATACCCAGCGCATTTTTGTCGATGTGGGGCTGGGATTCCATGTGGAGTTTACCTGGTCAGAAGCTTTGAACTTTATCTCGTTGAGGGAGGAAAAGATCGCCAGGTCTGTCCTCCTTGGCAAACTTGCAAATTTTGACCAATAGTTCTGTTCAGAACGGCACAATTCAGCTTGAGTAGTTCTTGACACGATCCGGATCTTCTATAACCAAGATTTCTCTTTCTAAAAGCTGCTTACATTTTTTTGATATCCTGGCGCAGGCAAATAGAGGAGTATACTCTCCAAATCGCATCGATTAAGACCCAGATCAAGCTGGTACGTATTTGTTTAACTTCTCCACTATCTTTGACTGCAACATTATGCAAGATGCCGATGCCTTAATGCTTGCTCTAGTTTGTCTAGGACTTGGCTGTGCTTTTCCTTCAGTGCTGTATTCTAAATACAAGATGAATGACCTTGCCCAACTGTGCCCATTTGGAAAGAGAGGAGATTATTAGGCCGGCATTGCCTATTAGTTAAGGGGAATCACCCTATTCTGCTGATAAAAATTTGAAGTGAATCACTGTTTGAAAAACTTGGCCGCCTTACTATGTGGCTAATGCAAATCTTTCTGATGATGGCTTTCGGTTCTTTCCGGGCAAACAGGTTTACGAAGGCATCCGAGAATTGATGGAACTTCCGGCAGAGAAACCTCCCCCTCAACGTATCTTCTAACCAGGGCCTTTTCCGAGCCTTTAGGACTTTGTATGCACTGCAGATTGCATGTCGCCTTCCCAAAACAGATGAGATTGTTATGAGGACGAGGGACATACTCTAACCTAAACCAACTAAATACCTATCTGCCCAAATCAGTAGTCTGTGGCGTTCTGTTCTCTTTTTGGTGAACTCGAAACTTGGGATGACAATCTTCATACCTGTTTTCTACTGATAGTTAATGACTCGGTATTAGAATAGAGGTGTTGTTTGCTATTTTCCTTGTGCCTAGGGTTGCAAATGAGTCAAGCTACTTATGAGCGGCTCAATGCTCGATTCTGGAAAAACTCGTTAGTAGCTCGACTTGATAGTAAATGAGCCGAGACCGAACTCGTCATTTTTTGCTGGCAAGCTAGCTCGGCTAAGTGGCTCATTGAGTATGACTAATGAGTTGGCTCGTTTCGAGCTAATGAATTGGCTTGATAGTCTGGTTAGCGACTTATGAGTGAATCAATATATGTAACTTATGATGTGGCTTCTTAACGATTCATACTTTTAATAGATTATATTTGTCATAATGTATATAATGTTTTAAGACTTTGAGTACTTTTAATAGATTATATTTGTCATAATGTATATAATGTTTTAAGACTTTGAGTACGTGGCCAAATATGTCACAATTATAATTTGAAAGAGAAATTATGTATTATAAAATTGTTAGTTACTGATTAATATTACATAACATTATATGAATTAGTCAAAAAATTATGAACTAAATTATATTACACCAAGATAATATATAAAGATGAGATCTAGTGATTAAAAATTGACTATTATTCTTTTTCATTAGCCACATGTATCATATATGCTATAAAATATTATGGTATTCGAGTTATTAATTATTTTAGGTTTTATTAAAAAATTCATTTAAACTTGTAAATGAGTTGAGTTTGTGAGGTGATCAATGAGTCAAGCTCGAGTAGAGCTCAAGAGCTCCTTAATGAGCCAAGTTCAAGTTTAGATCAAATGGGATCTAGCTCGGCTCATAAAGAAAGAAAAAACTGAGTTCAAATTTAACAAAACTCGATTCGATTCAAACTATTCCCTGAAGACAAACCTTCATCCCAGCCCCATTTGAAGCCCAATTGATAGAGGGATTCAAACTCTACAACTGAATAGTGTTTTTCTTCCAAACTTCGGCCCAACAAATTGTTGAAAGTCCAAGTTCCAGCCCAACATCCAGGGTTGATGTAGTAGGGAGAAAGTAAAAAACAGAGGTGGGAACTGGGAAGTGGGGAAATGGTAGGGAGAGTAGGAAAAGAGAGAGATTCCTTTTAGCAGTTTAGTTCATCAGGCCACCTGATGTAAGACCATCTCCAGCAACAAATTGGGAAAATGCTAGAATGCTAAAGGGGTTTGGCATTTTGGCACCCCAAAAGTGGGTTTTGTTCCAATAAGGAATGCTAAAATGCCAAACCTTCTATTTTGTGGTAATATAGATTAGTGTAGATTTCATCATTTTAATTAGATAGTTTGTAGATTCTTTGTATGCAGGTAGTTATAATTAATTAGAACAAACATTTTGATGTAATTTTTTTTAAATTTTGACAAAAAATATACATTATTAAATATGATGTCATTAGTGACGAAAATACAATAATTGGTGGATTAAGACTGGAGATGCAAACAATAACGTATTAATGCAGGTCAATTATTAAAAATAGGTTTAATTTGATTGATTTTGTTTTAATTATGTGTTTAGAGGGGGTTTACATGTGTTCATGGTGTTTTAATTGAATGGCACGTCCATCGAGGAGAGGAAGTGGGGTTTGGGATTTTTTCCCATTTCTTGTCCGTTTGTGTGCCAAATTTAGCCACAAAATTCCCATTTTTTGGCTTTTAAGCATTTTAACATGGTTGTTGGAGGGACTTTTTCCCAAAATTTGGCATTTTAGCCTTGTTGTTGGAGATGGTCTAAGCAAGCAAAGAAAGGTTGAAAAGGTAAAAAGGGGAGGGGATTATTAGATTAGACATCACATTGGGCAGAGGTCAGGCTCGGGTCTTAAAAACCAGCTATAGCTGCTGCTTTCTCTTCAATGGAGGAGAGGAGGGGAGAGGAGAGGAGAGGGTTCGTTTTCATCCAACTGCTGCAACCAATAGGGTTTGTCTTCCTCCTCCCTACCCCAAAAAACAGTGACAGTGGCAGACAGACAGACAGACCCTTCACCTTCTCGTTTCAAATCAGAGATAAATGTAAAACACAAAAGTAGCCCCCTGACAAGAAGTGATAATAACCGTTGGATTTGGATCAGTAGCATTTATACTTGCTTTAACTGAACCTGCATCCATCCATCCATCAATCAATCGTCTGGTTTGGTTTTGGGAAGTTGGTGCCTTGGAGGGGAATGGGACAGTGGAGAAGAAGGAAGGGGACGAACAAAGGAAAGAAGCAAACAAAAGCATCTGCGTTTTTGTTTTTGTTGATGAGGTTGGGTTGCTGTCTGTATTTATCCATGTTTCTGGGTTCCTGGGGTATGAAGGCACTGTTTCACTTGCCTGGGTAGCTATCCGCCAAAGCCAGCAAGCTGGCTTATGATGGGATGGAACTTGGAAGGGTACAAGAAAGTAATTGAATCCAAATTCTACATCTTCGGAGATGTAGACTGCAAATAAGAGTGCGAGGAAATTGACGATGGTTATGGTTATTAACCCGCACAGGTTGTCGACTAACAATTGAGAGATTAATAAAAAGAAAAATACGTTAGGCTCATTGGAAGCCACGAAAGAGGCCCGTCATTGAACACAAAGAAGAAGGGGGAGATGTATTCCGTGCAAGGTTCTAAAAGGCGCTAGGCGTAAGGTAGGCGTTCGGCTCCTGACTTGCGCCTTGCCTAATTAGGTGTAGCCTAGGCGTTCAGAGCATAAATGGAAAAATTCTCAAATATTTCTTGTTTTCTGAAATAATTCATATAATCCAAGTGCATATAAAATTAGCAATGCCTAGTTCTTAACAGTAAACACTTAACATAACAAATAACAAGCAAATAGTGACCAATCATTTGCTAATAGGTGCTTATAGAGGCAAGAAGCTTGTGCTACATACCAAGGAGAAGGAATGAGCAGCAATTGACAAGTTTCGAATTTATTTCCCACTATAGCAGTGGAGCGGTGTGAAGGCGAGAAGAGTGATCGATGACTTTCTCCTGCGGCGGCAGAGAGCAGCAAATGGGGCCAGAGCTAGGGCGGCAGGCGGTAGCAGATGGGGCCAGAGCTAGGGCGGCAGGCGGCAGCAGATGTTACTTCTCGTGTTTCTTATTTTCTAGGGCAAGAGGCAAGTTTATGATTTTCTAGGACAAAACGAAGAGTATTGGGTTTAACCGCCTAAGCTCGCCCAGGAACGCCCAAGCACGCCTTCTCTCCACTAGGCGCAAACTATGCACTATTCCTACCTACTAAGCGCTACCAGCGCCTTTTACAACGCCTATGACCAAGTCAAAGCGATCCTCCACCGCCTAGCGCCTAATTGAGTCTAGGCGTGCGCCTAGGCGCGCCTTCTTGAACCCTGATTCAGTGTGATATGATTGACAAAACCTTTAGCCAACTTGGGAAGGAAAAAAAGTTAGGATATTATTGGATTTATATGAAAATGGGAAGAACACAATGGGGTAAAAACACAATAATACCATGGTATTTCACAAATACTAGATACTCTCTTAATATTTGGAGAATACTATATTTATTGTATTTGAAGAATAGTACACCTCAATTACTATGTTTTTCCCCAACTAAATATGGGGTTGTTTGGAGGTTGAGATTCTCCAAATTAATGTATTTAATTATTTATGTGTTCATGTGTTGTAATTGATGCATTGATTAAATGTATGAATTTGGAAAACATGTTATTTGGAGGTTTAGATTTTGTTTTTGTTGTAAAGGTAAATTGAGTAGACAATCTCTTGTTAACAATCTCATATTCTGGTAAAAATTTAATATTATTCATTTAGAGTGGTTATAGGTGGGCCCATAGAAAAAATAATACATATATTCTATCTTAAATTTAACAAAAAACAATAACGTAATTTTAAGAATACATATATTGGCTAAATAAATCATTTAAATTCCAACATCAAAATTATTCTATAATAGTTCTACTCAAATCAACATTATATGAGAATTATGGCTAAATGCCACACAACCACCCATAATAGTCTCTCTTTTTTTTTACAAGGGATCACTTATATTGCACCACCAACCGAAAAACGTTGTTGAACAGTTATATCAGGAACTCAGAAATTAAATCAAGGACAACAACCCAGTCACTGGGGAGAGAGTGATTAAGGAGCGATCTGGCCACCCAATCCGCTCTGGTATTGAGCGAACGTCCGATGAATCTCACTTTGATCAACGGCAGCTGGAGAGGATTCCAGACATGACACTCAGCAGGGCAGAACATCTCCACGACCGTACCAGGAGAGGATTCTGAAGAGCTGTTACCAAAGTGAGGCAATCCGAACTAGGGATGGCAATCAAACCCATGCCCACGGGTATCCGACCGCCCCCGACCCAGTCAACGTGGGGAATCCCCGCATTGACCGGGTATGGGTGAAACCCGCAAAAAGTTTGATGGGTATGGGGCGGGTATGATTTTAGCCTCCCCCGCCCCACCAAAAACATTTCTTCACATATAAAAAATATGTGAATCGATTTGTAACCTATCAATAATAGTGAGTATAACTCAATTAAAATATATAGTAGCAATGCAATTAAGTGACCACCCAAATCAAAATCTAATTTATTTGTCTCAATTTTCCCTTCACTCTTTCACTTTTTCCCCTTGTTAACAAGATTATGTTAGTTCATTATTACTTAATAAATGTATCACAGTAGAGAATAATGATTTGAATGACATTGTAATCTACTCTGATATGGATTAATGGATGCTTTAGGATAAGATGCTTTGAACCGTATTAAAAATGATTCTCTTTGTAAATTCATGATATAGTAGGTGCGTTTAATGTTATAATTGAAAGTATACATGTAAAATATTCCGTATTATAATGTTGGATGTACGGGGCGGGTATTACCCATGGGTACCCGAAATCCATGGGCATGGGGATGAGTTTGCAAAACCTTCCCCGCATGGGTATGGGGCGGGTATGGGTATAAATATTTGAAAGCGGGGATTGGGATGAGGATGGTTTAGGCACACCCGCCCCAAACCCACCCTATTGCCATCCCTAATCCGAACACACCGTAATGGGGCAATGTAATCCTTGAGCTAATAGTCTCTTACAATACCCCTGAATTTTTTTATTTGACCTATTACTACTACTACAGTACTATTATATTTACAAGATCCCAGCCCTAGTCTAGTCTAGGGCAGGGGCTACGTTAATTTGTTTCTGCTACCTTCTGGCCGTGCAGCAGAGTACTTGATTGAAGCAAGGGGATCAAATAATATCTCCTCTCTCTTCCTCACTGTGCGTTGGAAGGAAAAGGAACTGAACATACGAACAAAAATTAATTCTCCATGGCAGCAAAACATAAAGTTCATGCAAATAAATAACAATAAATCAACCTGATTGAAGAGAGAAAGGAGGAAA